GGTCACGACGTTGCTCATCTCCCATGTTGCCGAAGGTGGAAAGTGCCAGCACGTAAGTAGACTCGCCGCTTTCAGGAACGTCCGTTGGGTCGACTGGATGACGCGACAAGCAGTCGGCATCTTCATGGTGGTTGCCCGATTTGTAAACGACTGTGTATGAATATTCTTGTAGCCGTAGAGCCCACCAGCCGAGGCACCTACTAGGATCTTTTAAGGACGACAGCCAACATAAGGCGTGATGGTCAGTGACAACTGTGAATGGCCGTCCATACAAATAGGGACAAAATTTTCCCACTGCACAGACGAATGCAAGGCATTCACGTTCAGTAATTGAGTAATTTCGTTCCACTGGCGATAAGAGACGACTAGCGTATGCAATGACGCACTCGGAGCCATGCTGTCTTTGTACCGAAACTGCTCCGATTCCATGGCCACTTGCGTCGGTGCGCACTTCGGTTGGAGCGGGGATATCAAAGTGGCCGAGAATCGGGGGCGTCGTAAGCCTGGCGGTCCACTCAGCGAATGCTCAGGCTTGTTCAGGTCCCTACACAAAAGTCACATCTTTCTTCAGTAGTTTCGAGAGTGGTCACTCGACGTGAGCAAAATTCCGCACAAATCTGTGAAATTAGGAGCAGGGGTCCAGAAAGCTCCGAATGTCATTCGCCGAGGTCGGCAAAGGGAAATCTTTGACTGCGCGGATTTTCTCAGGGTGGGGATGAACACCAGAAGAATTATAAGGGTTACCGAGAACAGTGAGCTGGCGGCGGCCGAAGTGACATTTCGACGAGTTTAACTGAGGCCCTGCCTTGCGGAAAGCAGAAAAAATAGTCGAGAGACGCTCGAGGTGTGTTTCGAAAGTCGGTGAGAAGACAATGACGTAATCAAGGTAATACAACCAGATTGACAAGTTAAAACTGTGAAAGAGAGCATCCATCATTCGTTCGAATGTAGCTGGGGCATTGCATAACCCGAACGGCATTACTTTAAACTGATAGAGTCCGTCGGGAGTTATGAATGCTGTGTTTTCACGGTCCATGTCATCAACTATTATATGCCAGTACCGGAATGGAGGTCGATGGAAGAAAAATAATTTGCTCCAATAAGGCAGTCAATGGCGTCGTCTATCCGTGCCAGGGGATACACGTATTTTTTCGTTACCTTGTTAAGATTCCGGTTGTCGACACAGAAACGCCAGCTGTTATCTTTCTTTTTGACGACAGTGACAGGCGAAGCCCAGGGGCTTGAAGAAGGTTCAATGATGTTCCTAGCAAGCATCTTGTCGCCTTCTTTCTGGATCACGTTGCGTTCGATGGAGGATATCCGATAGGGCCACTGATGTACCGGATTTGCATCGCCGGTGTTAATCCGATGTTTTACGATGGTTGTTTCGACTAAGGGTCAGTCGTAGAGATCAAAGATGTCTTACGACGCAATAAGGCCGCGAAGCGCGTGCACATGCTCGTCAGGGAGATCAGATGCGATCATTGGCATTATGCCATCTCAGGTAGTGCCTAACTCAAGACTGGGAGGGGATGGTGTATCCTCTGTTAAAGCGGAAATGTTGTAGTCGCTCGCCGAGGCAAGTGTTGCTAGGTATAATCTTCGGGGCAGTACTTGCGCGCACATTCCAAAGTTCACTATAGGAAGGCGTGCTACGTTGTCTTTCATAGTTATAATTGTGTGCGGGTGGCTGCCCCGCCGCGGTGGTCTAGTGGCTAAGGTACTCGGCTGCTGACTCGCAGGGCGCGGGCTCGAATGCCGGCTGTGGCGGCTGCATTTCCGATGGAGGTGGAAATGTTGTAGGCCCGTGTGCTCAGATTTGGGTGCACGCTAAAGAACCCCAGGTGGTCTAAATTTCCGGAGCCCTCCACTACGGCGTCTCTCATAATCATATAGTGGTTTTGGGACGTTAAACCCCAGATATCAATCAATCGTGTGCGGGAACGTTACAATGAAAAAAGAGAGGACGATAGCGTTAGTTGACACCACATAATATTCGTCAGTCACAGGGAAATGGGAAGAGACGTCCATAAACGTCACAGCTCGACATGATAGGCGAATGTACTCGATGGAGCATAGCTTCGGCAGCGAAGGAGCAGGATGGTCAACGGCGTGTGGTAAAGCAAGTTTAACAACACCAGCAGAAGAGTCAATTAGGGCAGAATGCTTCGACAGAAAATCTAATCCCAGAGTGATTTCATGTGGGTAGTGGTCCAGGACGTAAAACAAAACAGAAGTATGACATCCAGCTACAGTGACGTGGGCGGCAAATATTCCAGTGACAGCTGACGTTGTTCCATCAGCTACTAGTACTACAGTGATAGGAGCAGGCGTAAGCACTTTCTATAGCCTAGCACGAAGACTAGAGTTCATTACAGATATGTGAGCGCCAGGGTTAATGAGTGCTGTTGCAGGTGTGCCGTTTACATTTACGTTGATCAAGTTTTTGTGTCCTGATAGCGTGCGCAGAAGAATTTCAAGTCGAGGCAGGCTCACCTCTAGGAACTGCACCCGTTAGTGTTCTGAGGACTGGTGATGGTAGGAGGGAGAAGGAGCGGCGACGGTTAGGTGAGCGGGACAGGTGACCGGATGACGACGGCGAGCGGTTTGGTCGAGCGGGCAAGGGTAGCGAAGCATTGTCGTGGTCGACGTATATTGGCATGCGGCAACCATTAGGTGGGCGCGGGGTGTTGGCGTAGTGCAGCCATAGCTGCCGATTCCGGGAAAAACGGCAATGGCGTGAAATGTGGCCGACTCGTTCGCAGCAGAAGCAGATAGGCCTATCATGGGAGGTTTGCCATTCAGCCGAGTTCCAGTAACGTGGACGGTTGTACGGACCGCGGGGCATATCAGGTACATTAGGTAATTGATTAGTCAGGTCTGATAACTGGGCAGAGCGTGGGTAGTCTGGGGTTGGCCAGTGCCTGGCGGACAACGATCTGTAATAAAGAAAGTGTTTTTTTCTTCATTTCACCTACATCGCCGTAAGGCATGTAGGTGAAATTGTTGCACGAGAATCGTCGGTGGCACGGGCATGATCATCAATAAGAGGTGTGGCCTCGTCAAGCTCTTGAGCTTTTAGTCCTGTACTCCACCTTATCTAAGGAAATAAAATAATTGATTGATTGATTGATTGATTGATTTGACGGCGGACGATGCGCACAATTATGTCGGAAGTAGCAGCAGCTGAAGCGAGACGGGCGTCTTTGTAGGTAGACGTGGCAGCCGTGTTGGAAGACGCGAAAATTGGGGAGTAATACGATGCCTTTTCGCTTCTACAAAGCGTCGGCATTCGTTAATGACGTCGTCTACAGTCAAAAAGTAGCGGAACTCAAGGAGAGTGAAGGCATTATTGAAGATGTGCGCTTTTGAAAACTTTTGAAGATGTGCGCGACTTTTTCGGATTCTGGCATTTTGTCGTCAACCATGCGGCAGAAGGCGAGCACATCCTGAATGCATGTCACGTAGGACTCGGTGCAGGACTGCAGTCGGCATGCGAGTTCTTTCTGCGCCGAACGACTACGTCCAATGTACTTACCAAAGAGGTCGATGAGTTTGTATTTGCAAATATCCCAACTCGTGATTTCTCCTTCATGGTTGGAAAATCAGACTTTGGGCATGCCCTTAAGGTAAATTAGAATATTGGCCAACACGAGCGTCGGGTCCCATTTGTATAGTGCACTCACGCGTTCGTATAGCTGAAGCCATTTTTTGACATTCTTGTCGTCGTGGCCGGAAAAGGTTCCCAGGTCATGTAGAGCCGTCAGAACGATGGTACGATTCGTGACGGCTAGATGTGACGCTGTCGGACGCTGCGCGGTTTGACGAGACACGCTGGGGAAAGGTACCAACGAATCCTCGTTCTCATCGTGATCAGTTATTGTAGAGGCAGGTAAGGAACGCTCGCTTCGTAGAATCGTCGTGGATGTTGATTCTGTGAGGACCCGCACTCTCCGCCAAAATGTTGCGGGGAAAAGACGTTGGAGAATAATGCTTACTCTCAATTTAACAAGCAGGCATACAAGATGGAACTCAGTCTGCAGAAGAGCTTCGACATTGTCTTCTTTCTTATTGAGTTTCAAGTTATCCGTGGTGCCACGTAGCAATATCAATCAATCAGTCAGCGGTTTGCGCTAAACGTAGTGACAACAAAACTTCAGGAAAGGAACGTGGCATTATTTATTGTTGAGTTATTAAATTCTCGTTCTTTTCCTAGTGATGATTGATTTTTCTTAACCATTATATAACTGCCAAACGCTTTCGTGTTTACTTACTCTTGTCCATGTAATGATATTATATCATTTAGTGTTGATATTGTTTATTATTTGTCCCAATCACTAGCTATAACTCCTCTCTCTATGTAATGCCATGTGCGCCTTAAGGGCATACATAACAATAGACTGTACACATGTTATTAGGCCCTTGTTTTCGTCCATATGCGGCACTGACAAACCTATGTTTATCTTGCGTGTTTGCACGTGTGCGACATCGGCCGTCTGTTACAAAGTGTATATCTTGCAACATATAGTTCTTTAAATCGTCTAGTTAGGTTGCAGGCAAGCAGTTTAATCGCATGCAAAAAATAAGAACCGAGTTTTGGTAGAGTGCTTGTGCGCACTGGTAATTTTCGAAGCTAAATAGGCTGCCGTTTTCTCGACGAAAAAAGTGCGCGTTGCTGTGTTCATTTCTTCGTTCACTTAGCTGCTGAGTTCGATGAGCCCTATCTCATTCCCGGCATTATTGAGGCGGTCAGGGGACTGTCCTGGCGTGGACAGTGAACATAGCATTGGGAAGTCATCGCAAAACGAAGATGAACAGTCAGTAGCACCATAAATGTGGCGATATGCAGCTGGTTTCGTTTTTGTGCCCAAAAAAACATGGTGGATCGAACTTACGGTATTGTTGACAGATGGCGCTGTGCAAATTCAATATCTTATTAAGCCACACAAACGTGTGCAGCCACACGCTTGTGGGAAGGAATAACCGTAATGTTTATGCAGGTTACTGGCGAGCTTCAGGATATCTTCAAAGAAGAAGGCGACGACCCCAAAAAACACGAGCAAAAGACGCTGAAGAAAAGGGAGAATGCAGTGGCTGCATTAAAAGGTGAGTTCTGTGGATGCCGGTAACTGAAAAGAAAAGTTACCACAGCTTGGCTGACTTTTCTTCAGACAGACTAGTGAGAGGTATTGCATTGTTTTATGGCCTAAGTAACATTCCAGCAACGGCGAAGCCGTGATGTCTGCTCTTGTGCACGGCACCTCGTGCTGGCGTGTATTTTCTACCCAGATTGTGTGAACATTGGGGAAGTTACGCCAACGCATCTTATTAATGGGGAATCCTTTTCATCAATTGCCTGCAACTATTTTTGGTATAGTAAATGTGCAATTTCGGACGCCACGCTTCATATAAAGTTTGCTTAAATTTTCCACTTAAGTATGTAAACTCCTTTGCGAGCAATAACTTCTGCGCCTATTTTCGTCACTGTTGATTTTTGTCAGCTTTGTTAAACGTTCCATCGCTGTTGAGTCAGATATTTCAGATCATAAGTGGCTGTTTTTCTCCGGCCTATAATTTAGAGATGCAAGATGCATTGGACTACGGTGTCAAATTTTAAAAATAAAGGTCACGGTGATTATACCGCAATTATTGATTATTGAGAAATGACACTAGTTGTAGACATTGCTATAATGTTTTGATAATCTATGCTTTCATCAAAAACAAATACTGTCACTTTGTATTAAAAACATTGTACATATTACAATGGTTACTGAAAATCGCAAAAATCTTTTGTAATTCCTAAAATTGACCACAATAAAAAAACTAAAACAAGTGAAAAAGAAACAACACGTGTTCCTTTTCAATGTTATGGTAGACCTGAGAAATAATTGACACCTAAACTGCAACAAGCAATGCATCATTGTTTTATTTCTCCCTTCCAGACTTTCTCAAAACTAATCCGACCAATTTTTGGCTTTGCCTCACGCAGTCATTTACTTTTATGGAAAAAATTCAGCGTATGATAAGCTTACCAAAAATGTAGCTGATGATATCATTGTTAATTTTCACTGTGTTAGTGCGCCATTAGCAGTGAGCCGAAGACAGTTTTGTTGGGAGAAACGCAGAGGTAAAGCCGACCAGCTGTCAAGTGGAGCGAGCTCGAGCAGCATCGTGGCATTCATGAAAAAGGGCTTGTACGGCTTCAGAAAGAAACGTGCGTCTGCGGTTGCTGAGTAGCTCACGAGGCACGCTATGACAAAGAACAAGTTTGTGAAGGATAAACAAGCTAACTTCACGTAATGTGGCTTCTGGAAGCGCAGCAGTTTCAGCATAGCGTGTCAAGTGATCGATAGCGACAACCACGCAGCGTTTCGCATCAGGAGTGTATGGAAGACGACCGTACAATTCAATTCTGATGCCGTCAAAAGGTCGGGATGGGCAATGCAACGGCTGCACATGACCATTGGCTATGTTCGGTGGCCTTTTTCGGCGTTCACATCTGGAACATGAACGTACCTACTGTCGGACAAACAGGTACATTCCACGCCAATACTACCGCAGCCGAAGCGTGCATACGTTTTTGATCACACCGGCGTGGCCGCATTGAGGATCTACGCGAAAGGAGTCGCAAATAGCAGCATGTAGGTGGCAAGGAATCACAAGCAACCACTTGCGCCCGTTGGAAAGGTAGTTGTGACGGTACAGGAGTTCATTGCGGATAGCGAAATGTCGAGTGGAACACGTAGTGAATGATTGGTGGTAACTTCGGGAGGCTGAGGCAGTACCGCTATCAGAGAGACTATCCAAGCGTCTTGGAGTTGCTTGGAGACCATGTCAATGAACGAAGGTGCCGCAGCATCGAGACTAGAAACAGAGCACTTCCATGTTCATGCGGAAGTGATGAGCGGGAAAGAGTGTCGGAATCTGAATGTCTGCGGCTCGACCTGTAGACGACACGGATATCATAGTCTTGGAGACGCAATGCCTAACAAGACAGACGGCCAGATGGGTCTTTTAGTGACGATAACCAGCAGAGGGCGTCGTGATCAGTAACGGCGTCAAATGGACGGCCTTAGACGTAGGGTCGAAGTTTTGCGATTTTACAAACGTTGGCTAGACATTCCTTTTTTGTGACCGAATAATTCACTTCAGCCCTAGTAAGAGTGCGACTGGCATAATAAACAACGTACTCGTCGATGCCAGACGCGTTGAGCAAGAATAGCGCCAAGGCTGACTCCACTGGCGTCGGTGTGGATTTCAGTAAGGTAATCTGGGTCAAAGTGACGGAGAATCGCTGGAGATGTCAGCAAATGACGTAGTTTTGCAAATGCGTCATCTCAAGTGGAAGACCACACCAAAATTCCTTCATTCTCAGAAAATATTTGTGGTAAAGGGCCATTACGAATGCCAAACTACGGACGAATCGACGAAAATATGAACATAAGCCGATAAAGCTCCGGAGTTCTTTTAGTGACGATGGCTTAGAAAACTGGGCGACGGCACAGAGTTTCGCAGAGTCAGATAAAACAGCATACTTACTGACAACATGCCCCAAGATGTGAGCTTCCGCGCGGCGAAATGGCACTTTTTCAAATTTATTTGGAGCCCAGCATGTGTGAGGCGTAGCAGGGCAATTGCGAGGCGCAGAAGATGCGTATCAAAGTCTTTTAAAAAAAGAACGACGTCGCCCAGCTAGCAAAGGCACGTCTGCCATTTGAGGCCTCGAAGTAAGTTGTTCATCAGACGCTCGAAGGTGGCAGGGGCATTGCAAAGACCGATCGGCATCACGTTAAACTCGTACAAGCCGTCCGGAGTTACCAACGCAGTCTTGGCGTGGTCAGATTCATTCATGGGTATTAGCCAGTATCCTCATCGAAGATTCAGTGAAGAAAAAGAAATCTGCTTCTTGCAAACAGTCGAGAGTGTCGTCAATTCTGGAAAGCGGATAAAGATCTTTGTGCGTGACCTTGTTAAGGCACCTGTAGTCAACACAGAATAGGATGCTCCCGTCGTTCTTTTTGACCAGGATCACCAGGGAGGCCCACGGAATGTTGGACAGCTGTAGGACGCCACGATTGAGCATATCAAACACTTGATTGTGAATAACTTGGCGTGCAGCATGAGAGACCCGGTATGGACTCTGATTGATATGATTGATATGTGGGGTTTAACGTCCCAAAACCACCATATGATTATGAGAGACGCCGTAGTTGAGGGCTCCGGAAATTTCTACCACCTGGGGTTCTTTAACGTGCACCTAAATCTTAGCACACGGGCCTACAACATTTCCGCCTCCATCGGAAATGCAGCCGCCGCAGCCGGGATTTGACCCGTGACCTGCGGGTCAGCAGCCGAGTACCTTAGCCACTACACCACCGCGGCGGGGCCCCGGTATGGACGCTGACGCAATGGTGCGTGGGTGCTGGTGTCTATACGATGAACATTCGTTGAAGTGTGGTTTAAATTGGTTTGCTTGAAGTTGAAAGACGTGAAGAAGTGTCAAGAGTTGGTTCCGTTAGACAACAGGAAGGTCCGAATCAACCGATGTAAGGAAGGTGTTTAGGAAATATGTGGTGAGCGTGGGAGCGGGAGTAACACTGGCGATCTGCAGGCATGTTGCGCAATCGAGCAGTTGACTGGCTTAAACACAATCAAGGTCCTCGAAATAGCCGATGCATTAGCCACCAAATAATCTGGCTGGCACTGAAAGAAGATTCATGGCGTAAATGATTGCGGAAGTGTTCTCGACTATAAGAAGATCAAAAGGTAGAAGAACGTTTTGTCAAGAAGTGAAGTCTTCAGACTGTGTGAACATGACGTTCGAAAAAGCAGCATGGTTGCTGGAGATCGGCACGATAACCGAAGAAATAGGTGGGATACTTGTGTCTGCGGCGACGACAACACGAGAAATGAAAGGCTTGCTGGAATCGTCATAGGCGAGGGATGGTAATTTTATTTCGGCTCGGGCACAATCAACAACGGCACGATGTGTGGAAAGGAAGTCCCAGCCTAATATTACATCGCGCGAGCAGTATGGAAAAGCGATGGATTTGACCACGTACAGAACGTCATAGATGAGTAGCCGAGCCATGCATCATAGAAGGATTTACTTGATGCGCGGTTGCCGTACGCAAGGAGAAGTCAGAAAGTGGAATTGTAACTTTTCTTAACTTGCGACACATTGCTTCACTCAATACGGACACGGACGCTCCAGCATAGATTAATGCTGTAACGGCAACTTCAATAAAAACAGTCATTTTGTTAGTGGGTGAAAGACGAGGCTTTGTAGAGTTCGACAGCGGCGCTGTTCATGCCTCCGGAACTGCAATGATCAGTTTTCAGTTTGGGCAGGTGGTGCACGCCGAAGCCTCGGTGAATGCGAACGTCGGCGTGGGGAGGGCTAAAGATTGATTGATATGTGGGGTTTAACGTCCCAAAACCACCATATGATTATGAGAGATGCCGTAGTGGAGAGCTCTGGAAATTTTGACCACCTGGGGTTCTTTAACGTGCACCCAAATCTGAGCACACGGGCCTACAACATTTCTGCCTCCATCGTGTGGGGAGGGCTATCGGTGCTAGTTGAAGGCGCGGCGGCTCAATGGAGATGTATCAGAAGTAGCATTGAGAGGCATCGTCCGTGGTGGCTCTTTGTGGGCGTAGCCGTAGCTTTAATCAATGGTACCTGGATGAGGTACGCGCCGGCGACAAAACCGCTCAACATGGCCAGGTAGACGACAGTTGTATCAGATGGGTCTGTTATCCGGTGTGTGCCAAGGATTGTTGGGAGGCGTTGAAGGATGGCGAGAAAAGGGAACATGCGAACCTGCCCGTGCGCGTGTTGGGTAGAAGGCGTTCGTTTGGTGGGCAGAGTCGACGACGTTAGACGGCGCATGTGCCGGCCTTCGCGCGATGTCAGCGTAAGTGAGGGGAGTGGACACAGGTGGTGGCTGGTAAGTGGGCAGGAGTGTTTCGCAGACTTGCTCTTCGATGGTTTAGCGCAGTGACGAGGTCAGCCCGTGAGTATTTCTGGAAAGGAAGGGCACAAGACACAACTGGCAAGCTAATTCTCGCATGAATTGTTGGATTTGCGGCGTCAGTACCGT